CTCCAGTACTTATGTTGGCATGTGTGTATGCATGGATTTTGCTTGCTTCTGGATGCTTTTGTTTCGTTGTGTCGATTGCAATTTGCAAGTTAATCTCTCTGCTGCTTTCGTTGGCAGTTTTGCATGGAGCGAAGGCTTCCCATCTCATCCTATTTTGTGGGTGTTTGGTCGGAGAGTCGCGTCTCCTTTCTTGCATAAAGTTTCTTCTCCGTTTTTTTGGATTTTTCCACTTCGGTGCTCGCTGCTAGTTTGGTGCTAGAGATCTAAGCGAGGTCGAGAGAAATCTCATGGCCTCAGCACACGCAGCTCACCCGTTCGAAGCCTTTCGTTGTGTTCGTTTAATTTGGTGATTTGCATGTACAAATGTACTACGCATCTCATGTGCTCAACGCACCGGCGTACATGCATGCATGTCGTTGTTTACTTGGGAACGTTTCGTAAAAGGGTAGGCCTGATCATCTCTCCCTCGTGGGAGATGGTCGGGTGTTTCCCTCTGCAAGCAAAGGTTGCTCGGTTCAATTTTGCATCGTTTGGCTCTACTTTACAAAGTTTTGCTTCTTTGTACGGATTATGTTTGGTTCTTGATCCTTTTATTTCGTTCTTTCGATTGCAAGTTCGTTTCTCTGGTGCTTTCGTTTAAAGTTTTGCATGACCGAGGCTTCCGATATCATCCAGTTCATGGGTGTTGGCCGGAGCGTCGCGTTTCGTTTCTTTCATAAAGTTTCTTCTCGTTTTTTTGACCCCTTTTTTTTTTGGCCTTTTCCACCTTCGGTGCTCGCTGCTAATTTAGTGCTAGAAATCTATGTCGACAGATATCTCATGGCCGCAGCACACGCAGCTCACCCATTCGAAGCGTTTCGTTGCGTTCGTTTTCGTGACATGCATGTACATGTACTGCGCATCTCCTCTGCTAAACGCACTGGCGTACATGCGCGCAACATCCCGTTTTCTTCAGAACGTTTGGTACTGTACACTGTTTGGAGTTGCTGATTTCGTACAAAGGTAGCTCTGATCTCTCCCTCGTGGGAGCTCGTCGGGTCTTTCTTCGCTCTGCAAGAGCAAAGGTTTTGCATCGTTTTGTTCTACTTTACAAGTTTGCTTTCCCTTTTTATTTTGTGAGAGATGGAAGAAGACGAAACCTCTCTGAGTTTCTGTGCCCTGCCCGGTCGGTTCTACCTCTGGACTCTGGTTTTGACTCTTTTTTTGCTGTCTTTTGGAGACTGCCATTTTTGTGTAAGCGGATGCGTTCGCTTGCTGTTTTCTTGCAAGGGACATGCTAAACTTGTTCTCCCTGTATGCATGCAAAGCCTTCGCGTGAACTTCTGCATCCAATCGATTTTTTTTTCTTTTTAGCAGCGGACTAGCGACCGTCTGTCGCTTGCATGGTTTGCAGAAGTAGAGTGGTGGATCCACGTTTAAAAACTCTGTGAATATAGATGTGGCTTTTGGTTATGTGTTTTCTGCTATTTAGCAAATTTCATGAAAATTAAATTGTTGTCTTTACCGGGATGTCTTTCTCATTCATAATTTTGTACGCCTTTTAACTAAAAAGTTTATTCCGTACCAAAAAAAGAGCAGTCATATGTTCGTTAATAAGACTTCGTGTTTGTGCATGCGTGCTAGCTTATAGTAGACTTGTTCCGAGTACCATATTTTCGTTCAATAACGATTCTTCAGGTGGAATTATTGCAATCTCGTTTCCTGTTCAGTAGTAGTTCCATTTGTTATTTTCTTTTTGGGCTTTTTAAGGTGTCGGTTTCTGATTTCTGAGTTCTTGGCCCAGTTTCTATGGGCTTTGGTGGGCCTTCGAAGAACGCTAACCCCCTATATCATCCATCTTTCCTCGCTAATCATCAACTCCCACTGCCCGACACTTCTCCCTATTCCTCAAGGCTTCGCCGGCGATTCCCCTCTAGGCTTTAGCGTCCGCCATGGATTCCCGCCCCATGTAAGTGTCGTACGCCGTAGCATAGCAGCGTAGTTCTACCTCTATCGTGGCTTGAATGGAGAAGGATCAATCTCTTGTTGTTTGATTTCTGTTGTCCCTAGCTGATTTA